TTATGTCTGCAGATAATAGCATTAAATATTTCAGACACAGAGATACTCTGTTACTTAGTTTGGCATGGAGAATAACCTCGTGATTTATGTAGCCCTAAGATCTGTAACAATTTAAGGGGATAGAGGTTCAAGTTCTGAAGGTTCCAAACCATCATTTGCATTAATCATTAGAATTAAAGTGATTTAAGATTCTTAGATACTAATTTCTTTTATTTTCTTATGCTTGTTTTTAATTCAGTACTAGAAGACACGTTTTACATAACTCAGACTTCAGGAGTTTTAATTATCATGAATTAACTCTGAAAAGAGCTTTTGGCAAGCTCTAAACCATTTGCCTGGCTGGCAGTTCTTAAAGGTTGGGTTTGGGATTTAAGGTTTTTTTGGGGGTTGGCTTGGGGAGAGTGGTGGTGGTGGTGTTGGTCTGGGGTATTTGCAGGGGATGGTGGTGGCATCGAGTTTTTAATTCATAGTTAAGTGTCCATGGTTTTTTTATAATATTCCTCATTTTTTGTATGAAAAATCAGTATTATTTTTACAGTTTTTAAATTGCTCAGGTGGCAAAAGTTTAAATTGATATCCAAGAAGCCAAACAGCGTGTATACCTTGAACTGAGTTTCAATCTTACTGACCCTTCCTTAAAAGCAGTAGCTGCAGTGTCTTGAGCAAAGAAGCAGCAGCCTACAAAGATCAAAACCAACATAAGGCTGAATAAAAGAAAAGCAATTACTGTCAAGATGATTGAACTAAACTTCTCTAAGAATTTAAGTCACTATTATACAATTTAAACCTAAAGATAGATGTACTGCATGAATCAGAAACAGCAGCTGAATGCTAATTGATCCAAATCGCTCCTTTACCCTGACATTTCCATAGTGGTGAGAAACTAACAAGACACAGCACCAGATCTGGGCAGCAAGACAAAACACAATTCTGACAGCATTTTCCTTTAAAACCAGGAATGTTATACTGATGGAAAAACCTACTTTGAGACAACACAATGATCTGAACTCCTAACACAATGGAGAATTGGTTGAAAGGAGGAGGCAGATGCAGAGCAGAGGCTGCTGGGCCCAGCAGCCAGCACTTACACAACAGGGCAGGCTTCGTCAGCTGCCTTACGTAAGGGAAATCTGAGCCAGCCCTGAGTGAGCTGCTCCTCAGGAAGAAACCTTGATGGCAGAGCCAAGGAATAAGTTACTTTTCAGTTAGAAACTGCTCTTACATTAGCAATGAAATAATCTTGACTATTCAGGACCACATCAAGAATTATCCAAGCTTAGAATATGTAGGAGACGGTGGAGGAAAAAAAAAAAAAAAAAAGAGTCTCTCCAAAGGAAATCCGAGATGGCACAGACCATGCTGCACTTTGTAGAGAATCAGACACTTTGTATTAGAAAATCTTTACTCTGTAACAACATAGGCATATTACCTGCATTTTTTGCTTCCATTTTGTTACAAGTATTATTTTACAACAGCATGGAACTGAAAATATACCATTATCAAGTACACAGTAACATGAACAGTAGCTTTCCCCAAAGTGTGTACCCCCAAAATTCTAGTCACAGCAACTGACGATTATTTTCCTTGCATGTACCCCTTGCTTTGCATCCTGTACTTAACGCCTGGCTTTGACAGCGGGCTGTGCTCTCACATTTACTACAGTACTAATTAAATAATCAGTGTTTAAAAAAAATGAAGTTTAAAGAAGTGTCAAGATTCAAGTAAGGCAAGTGTCTTTTAAAAATCTAGGGAAAAAAATAAGCAAATTAGGTAACTGTCCTATTTTCTTCTGTGTATTTTTTTGAACACTGAATCAACTTCCTTCACTTCATAAGCAAGTAGTAAAACATTAAAATGTGGTAATTTTAAATGCTAGCTTTGCCTGAAAGATCATAACGATTTCTGACAATTATTTATTGAACTATTAGTATTATTTTGAGCCATTTATAGGGTATTTCATCTAGACTCAGTCTCAGGAATAAAATTATATATCCCATAGGATCAAATATCATATATCCAACATTCTTGGATAGGATTATCATAATGCAATGAAATAATAAATAATTCATTTAAGATAAGACATGAAGTGATTAAAAAAAATATAGTTTTTAAAAGTGAAAAAAATATTCTTGTGCATCTTTTTAAAACTCAAAAAGACAGCAATGCTGGCTACTCATTTGATGTTAACAGTATAGCAAGACCTAAGAACTGTATTAATTAAACCTATATTCCTAGCTATAAGTTGGCAAAAATTTGCTTTACTGAGTATCTCCCATAACTTCAAGTGCTCAATGAAATTTTAGTGAGGCAAATGACTCAACGTTTCAAACATCTGGGCAGTAGATAGTGTCTGTCATGCCTTGATTTCAAACACATTCCTGTGAAAACAGTGCTCACTATATGTGCTAACAGAATTAAGCAATTAACCTTTAAATCAATTTTTTATTTAGCAAGCCTTTTACAAACTAAATGGCACTACAGAGTGGTGGTAATTGAGAAATCCATACTGCCAAGATACATAATTATATGCAGATTTCATATCTTCATTTCTTTAGCAATGCTAAATTTATAATCAGAAAATGTGGCTGCCCCCAGTAATATAAGAAGTTGCACTGCTCCTGAAAGTGGAATCTTGACTTTAAAAGGACATTGACTTTGATCACACAGAGCTCACAATAAATACCAAATGGATTCTTGATGTCTGGCTAGTGAGAAGGGGAGGAAAGGTGTTTGCATTTACAGCCCTACTGTGTTATCACTTCCTTAATTATGATGACAGCTTCTGCCACTGACTTTGCACATTGAATATGCTTGCAAATATTGAAGTTCGATATGTTTTCATTCATACAAACTTACAGAGAAATATACTTTAGAACAATGTAAAAAGATTAACATGTTAAAGTTACGTCATTCAGAGACACTTGCAATTTTAAGTAAAAAGCACTGGAGATCTCCTAAAATTATGTAACCAGCAGGTAGAAAGAAAAAAAAAAAAAAAAAAAAAAAAAAAAAAGAGGAGGGGGGAAGGGAAGGAAATGTGACAGAGGAATAAAAGTGTTCTAAATATCTGTCCAATCTGTTTTGCCATTCTTTCATTCTATAATGAAATATCATAACAAAAACAAGAAACAAAACCAAAATAGCTTGGAATGAACATACATTGCCTATCTTCAAAAACAGGAATACAGATTTGGTAGTGAAATATAAAGGATGCTGATGAAAAGGTAAAATGATTAGCTTTAAATTGCCTACAATTATAACAGCCAATAGGAAGAAATCTTGCTACTTCAGAATGAAAAAATACATTACAGAAGGCATGACAGCCCTTTCTACTATGAGGAAGAGAAGAATGGTTAAGGATCATACTGATTATCTATGAATTATAGCATGATTGCAAAACATGGTATGTTCCATATTTTTCTAGTAAATGTTTGATTATTTGCATTTAGTAAATAGAATTTTTAAAGCCTTTTCAGTGCAAAAATGGCTGTGCATGGAACAGTTCCAAAGTTAAATAAAGGTATCTGTATGTTACAGCCTATTAAAAAATTAAAACCTATTAATCATACTTGATTATATTCTAATTAAAACTGAAAGGTCCATCTACTTTATAAATATAAGGAGTTCATACAAAAATGTGATGATATAAGTCTAAACAGACTTTAAAGAATAAATAGTGAATGCCCAGATTTTCAGAATTAAAATTTGGCCAGTGTATTGAAGCCATTTAACAGCCTTGAAAAGTAGGAAGAAACCTCAAATATTTTTGTTCTTAATAGCTATTTTATAGCTTACTGAAGTTCACATTTTGTAGTCCTTGGTGTACAATGTGGAAAAGAGATATACTACTAAGGAACTCATATGCCTTTAGTAATCATTAAGTCAGTTGCTTTAAATTTACATAGAAACATAAGCTTTTTATTTAAACCACTACACCTACTGTCTCTTACGTAATTTCACACATATACAAGCTTTTCAAAAGAAGTGCCACAAGCTGAAAGAGTAGCTTCCTTCGTAATCAGACAAAAAAAATAACATTAACATGTTACTCAGAACTAGAAAAACCAGCAGATATTTAACATATGGGTAGCATGAGTGTCTCTGTAATCAGTGAATGTCTTGATGCTTTTCCATTTCTATATTGTAATTTAAGGATCACATATTAAACGCAAAAGCAGTTTCAAAATCTTGAACATATTCCTTAGTCTCTCATTACGGTTTTTCAACAACTGCTGTAAAAACAAATTGTCTACAATAGAGACTTTTACTTTAGGTTGCATATTTAAATTAGAGTAGACCCAGACTTTGATATACACCTAATACTAAAATCCACTTTCTCATTACCCTCTGCCCCAATTATGTAGACTTCAACCAATTTCTCAAGTTTTTGCAGTACTTGAGTAGCTTATTACCCAGCTGTGCAGCTGAGCAAGAAGATAACCACATTCATTCCCCTTATCTGTAATGATGTAATACATCCCAGCACTGGGTTGAGATGATTGGGGAAATAATGGGATTGTAAAAACTGCAGCGAAGACAAACAACAGCACAGCCGCCTTCTCCTGATACAGTGAATTGCCTACACACAACACAGGGTGAAAATAATACAATGTCCACAAATTCTGCTCCTTAAATGAAGTTAACAGTTTTCATAAGAAGCAGCTGTTTTGACGCAGAAACATCATCATCACAATGCAGCAACCAGATTAAATACCTGAAATCTAGGCTGGAGCCTGAACTTCAAAAAAATACAAGTGCTGGACTTTACTTTCTAATGTTAAAACACCACCAAAAAGAAAAAAATGGCAGTTTGATCAAGGACTCTCCAGATAGTGCAGTGCAATGCAATGCAAGGAGTCATCAGAGACTAGCATGCAGTACAAAAATAGATCTCAGACCAAAGCATGTAAAGCACTGCTTTCCTATTCATTTAAAAAAAGTAAATCTGCCTCCATTTTCTCTATTAAAACCTTGCTTTTTACAACTGAAGATATCCTTACCTTCTGCAGGAGCTGGGAACCTGAGTACTTGGCTGCAATAGATTTGATCTCCCCACCAAATGCTGAGGCCCAGAGCTTTACACTGTGAAGAAAAAAATGAGAGACAGGAAGAAATGTAATACATATGTCATAGCAAGCAACATAGACTGTAACAGCTTCAGCTGCACACAGAAGGATCCAGGCAATTTTGCATGAAAGACCTCCTAAGGAATCTAAGCACAGCAAAATATTAGTGAAGCTGTTCAAGTATAAGCAGAAACTAGATGCTGTGCTAAGGTAAGGCCAGCAATATGAAGCTACCCAACCTGCACTGTTTAATTGAAAAGCATCAACTCGTACAGAAACATGTTTTGGCACAATATTACATATATCACTTGAAAGGACAGCAGCAGATAAATTTGCAGGACAGTTCAGAGAGAAATTCTCACATGAGGAGGAGTTAAAGTAGCAGCATCAACTTCAGTAAATACAAGTACTTCAGTTAAGACCCTATGGCCACATACTTCACCAACACATGCACCTACAATAAAATTAAAGTAGTGCTGTGTGGGTTAAAGACTGCCACTTTAAACACTACAGAGGAGCAAAGGTGCCTTGAACAGTCAAATACCTGCAATACAGAAAGACAAGAACTTGAGCAATCAAGTTGTCATCCTTGAACACGGTCCTGAGAGTAATAGCATGAAAGCACTTACACAGACAATGGGATCTGCTGCTCCGATCCAACCACATCCACTAAGGTTGTGTTAAAAGCTGTCCAGAAGATAAAGAAAAAACCCCAAAAAGCCTGAAGAAGATTCAGATTCTCTGGCATTGTGCCTCTCTGTGCCTGGAAAAATCTAGGGAAATTCAAGTAAAGCTGAAATCAGCAGCAGTGGGGCTTTGCTTCTAAAGCCTCTTTCTCCACCTTTACCCACTCCACTAGAACAACAGTGGAAGAAATCACAGCTCCATCCTCATCCCTCCAAAGAAGGGCCCTTCTCTATGAGATGGAAGGAGAGGACCAGAAGTGAAGCTTTAATTACTTGAAAACTATTGCGTCCCTGGTAACAGCAAAGCGTTTTCCAGCACTACTGCAGCCACTTCCGTGTAGTTCTTTACAACTCCGCAGTCAGCAGTGTGCTGGAGTTACTTCAGTGACCTACTGCTGCTCCAAAGTGCCCTTAGCAGCAAGAAAGCAGACTATTGATTCCAACTGGGGAGGCTGTCTTCTTGCAATTACTGCTCACTTTGTAAATGGAAAGCTGCCTAGAGGTCTCCTTTCCCTCGCCGGTAACCTCCAGCTTTCATCCCTGATCAAGTCAGCCAGTGCATTGGTTCAGTGGAGCAGGAGCAGCAGGCTTTAAACGGGATAGCGCGGAGACGGAGAGGCAGGCACAGGAGGAGCCGGAGCAGAGGGAGGGTGCCTCAGTACGGCAAAAGCAGACAAAGTCTGAAGGAGCTGAAAGTGGAGGTGAGCCCTTCTAGGAAGGCGAGAAGGGAGCGCTACACATTGCCGGGGGCTGAGCTAGGGAGGGCTAGGCAGGGGCGGGCGGGGGGCGCGGTGCACACCCACAGGAGACCCGGCCAATTCAGGGAGGGCACCGCTGCGTGAGTCCCCGCCGAGGTAGCATCGCCGGATGATGAGCCGGAGCAGCGGGCTCCCGGAGCAATCCCCGGGTTTAGGTCAGGCTCTCACATTTAACTGAGTCATGTATAGGTCGTCCTTGTGCACAGAGGCACATTTGCTGCTTCCTCCTATGCCCGAGCGCTGCAGCGAGCCACTCTCAGAGATCGAGACTAGCAAAGGCTTATGAATGAAGATAAATGCAGCATAAGTAAATCAATGCAGGCTAACTGACTCCTGCCTATGAGTAAATTATTAATTTGTGCTGGTAGAATAATCCCCTTGATACAGCAAACCTAGGATTACAAGCCTCTCCGCGGAGAGAGCGGCATGGGGAGCAGAAGGGGCTGGTCCAGGTATTTTTGTTGTTGTTGCATTATAAAAGTCTATCCTCCCTCCTTCTGGTTTTCATTCTCGCCCTCTGCTTGTTTTCTCATCATCATCTCCACTAAATGCAGACTTAAAATAAGGATTGAACTTCAATGTAAATAAGTATGGCAAGACCTGAAGACGATTTTAGCATGGGCTGAGTCATCCTTGCATCATAAAATATAGCTCCAGTATTCTAGTTTCTTCCCTCTGGAATTAGATTTAACACTTCAGAATATTCACTCTGTTTGTATACTGTCTTAATATGTTCTGTCTTGAAATTAGTTATGTAGTACCTGTATTCCTTCCCCTCCCTCCCCCCCC